ATTACATACTACCCACAAGTTATATATCATTAGTGCAAATATCCTCCTACATCGATTTATGTAGACGACATTATAAAATTTAGGAAATAAAGTAAAGACAGACAAAGCAGAGTTCCCAAGAGGTCCCAGAAAAAATAGAGGACTGAAACAGCTGAATGTCAGAAATATGAATTAATGAAATGGAATAAGTTTCAAGTCAAGTAATAAAGAACAAGTAAAGGAATAAATTCAAGCCCTATCAACGTAACAAGAAATGAAGGAAAGCTTGTCACCGGTCGAACGTCGGTCTTACTTCACTTTCATGACTGTACCCTTTTCACAACATTGATGGTAAGATAATGACCTCAATTTCTACGCCATCAACCAGGAGAACGTCATTTTAAATGTAGAGTCTACAGCTATTGGCAAGCGTAGCGGGTAGTCTGTTGTCTCCTTAACACATAATGGTACTCATTTATAACCCTTGGTAGGAAAACGAGCGATTAACCTTGACCGGGATTTGAACGCGGGACCTATCGTCCAGGTTCGACCCTCTACCGATTGAACAAACCTGGTCTAGGTAGAAAGAAAACTATACTACTTTTAAGCACAAAGAGAAACTAATTCAGGTTCACAATTCGTGAGCTGCATACAATTAAGTCATGTATTTATTTTTCTCATATTCGGCTTACCTAGAAGACGTTACAAGGTCTGTGGGTCCAACGGCTAGCGGTAAACCGAATTTAAAATGCGACCAATTTATTCGAATAAAACCAACCAAACTTTACACTTTTCAGAGTTTTAGCTAAATGCTTGCCTAGAATCGGAAGACGCATAAAACCCAAAAAGGCGAATCATCTTAAGACGGAAAAAAATATACAAATGCAGATTAACTGTAACTCTATAATATTTTTAGTTACACCATGTTTCTAAATTAAACATAAATTCAATACTTTGTTCGTGCGTTGCAGATCATACTGAAAACAGCAAAATGTATAAAAACGCTAAAAATAATAATGATACATAATCGAAATGGCGAAAATGCACAGTGTAAAGAAAACACGTATTTCTCACTTTACACCAGCAGCACTGGTGCACTGCCCCTTTGTTTCTAGAAGCATCGGGGGACTATTTACGCAGGCCACGGCTCCATGGTATTTAAGCACCTGCGGTGCATAGGATGCAGGACCGCGTCTCAAACTAGAGCTGACTAACCAACCATATATGATCGCCACTATTCGTAGGCAAAAAAGTGAAAAAAAAATATAACCCCGCAATCGTAGGGGGAGATTTCAATAAAATTAAATTATAAAAAAAATGCAAGCAAATTGGTCAGTCGGGTGATTAACTAGTTCCGACGTTTCGGCTCATGTCTCATAGGCCTTTATCGAAGTGGAAAGTGTTGATTTGCGCAATTCATGATGTGCTTTTGGCTATTCTTAACAGTCAAAATAAAGTATCCATAAGGCATAGTTCATGGTGGCTTTCAAATTATAACGGTATATCCGAAGAAGATTAACATCGATAACAGTAAACTTCCCAAGATTGGTAAAGTAAATCGTTGCTGAGTATCTGTACTTCATTAACAAACGAAGGCAGGAAACTTTGTCAAAAGTAAAAATACTATATTTAAGGATTCTAGATAGTCGCCCTGGCGACATTGTGTAAAAACAAGGACCATCAGAAAAATTTGTCAAAACAAAAAAATTAACAGCACTGCAAAAAGATGGATATATATTAGCTGTAGTAGTCATCTGTTAGTTACTAGCAACATAGTAAATACAAGCTGCATTTGAGTTTAGCTTCATTTATTGAGGTATTTAAATTTTTAACTCCAACGTGTAACTCGACTATATCGTAATTTATGTGCCGTGCCACCTCATAGTTATCTGTGCCAAATGTAGTTATCCAACGTATCGAGTGTCCTTTCTACGACAAGGCAACCAGAA